GTACTTTCCAATATGACAAAGAGAATAATCATATTGGCCAACATCAGCTTTATGATTATTCTGGGTGCTTCTGGTATAACCATTTCTGGGATTTTTTTTTTTTAATGTTATACTCATACCTGAAACAAATTATATGAATCAAAACATCCAGAGGGAAACAAACCTTCATAAGCCAGTCAGTCAAACCTCAACCACCCACTGGGTCTCTGTTTCCCAATCCCAACACTGCTCCTTCTCAAGGTGTCCTCTCAAGGCAACAGAGGTCTTCAACAAGCTGATTATCCTTCTGTCCCGCTTCTGCCAACACCAGCTGTTCAACCAACTCACCCCATTACAGAGAAGGAACACAGTTTTACCACTGCCATCCTGGCTCCCATCAGCACCAGTGGCCACAAATCACCAACAGGCACAACCTTCTGCAGTTTGGAGCACGAAGGGAACAAATTCTCAACCTGTTCAGAGAGGTTGTGGAAGTTTGCTTGGGAGGTTGTCAGGTAAAAGAATCAAGAAAAAATACACATCATTTGTTGCACCACCACTTATGTCAACCTCTTGGCAAGGGATTCAAGTGCCCTGGAGCAGATGGGAAAAACGTTAACAGCAAAGACCTCCAAGTATAACATACTGGCACGTATAAGAAATTTCAGTATTCCTTTTTTATTTTCTTACTAGCAAAAAAATACAATTGAAATATAATGGGAGGGGAAGGATATTCTTGAAATCACAGTTTAAACAAAGCCCAAGAAGAAGGCACAAAATTCCATTTCATGCACAAATATTCCTCTATCATCATAGCTGAAATAAGTTTTAGACTGATTTTTACATTGCCCCTAGAGCCAGAATGGCATCCTGAAAGGTACAGTTACAACAGAAAGCAGAGAAGTAACAGGTATGCTCTCCAGTAAAAGAAGAGTATGGTGGTCTCTATATGCACACACACATGTATACATACATATCAAAACTTAAAAGCATTTACTTATTTGGTTAAGCTGTACCAATATATCGGTATTGCTCATTTGCTCAGAGTCCCTGAAGTTCACCTGGATTAGAAGAGGCTGAGGTTAAACCGAGGTTAGCTGACACGTGTCAGCTGAGCCAGACCTAATCCTGGGTTTCTTACTAGTTGTTGTGTCTTCTTCTCTAAATAATATTAAGAAGGGGAAGAAACCACAGCGACACAGTTGGGTTCCAAATAACTATTTTTAGAAGCTGTACACACACAGACAAGGCAGAGTTGTGCATGCTGGCTGCTCCACAGAAAATTCCTCCCCCTGATCCCCACCTCCCTGGCTGTGCCCCTCCAGACCTCTGCCCTTCCCACCATGAGTCCTGACACATAAGATAAGGAGACTCCTAAGACTGAAACAGGAAAAACCCATTTTCTTAACTCTTAAGTGTTGTCTAATCCATTCCTCCTCCTGGCAAAAGAGGACCTTCATAATACCATGTAGGTGACTTTGTGCTACTTGGACTTGGCATTTCCTGTTAAAACAACACACATGGACTTTCTCCTGTGATTTGCACTGAGTCCAAGACCTGTGGAAGCTCCCCATTCATCTCAAAGCGATTCTTGGATCTGGCCTAAAAGTAAGAGTTTGATGAGCAATAAAGAAACTAAAATAATATGGCTTAAACCACAGAGGTGCCAGCTTTTACTGCCTTTCATTGAGCACACAGTCTTTTGCTCCCACTGTTCCAAGGGAAATAACACTCTGTGCAACTGTTATAGGATGTAAAACGTGTACTGTGCTGTTCAGACAGAGCTCGTAATTGAAACATTTAAGTGTCAGTGAAATCCCAAACGTGAAGTTTTAAATTTTCATTCAACCCATGATGTTTAAATTTAGGGGGTGGGGAGGTGCAGAAGGGAGTGGAGTGTAAATTACTACCTCAGAGTGCTTTTATGGTCTATTATTTCCAATATAATAATCAGAAAGATAAGCTCAGTCAGTATGCAAGCAGCTGCTGCCATACTGTAGTGGATTACTGCCACGGCATTGCCTGCTTCTCCTTTGTCACCCCTATTCCTTGTCCCACACAAGAGGTTATCATGAGGCTTATCAAGGAGACATGTCCTGCTGCCTGCAACACATGAAGAAGTGCCACTACCTTCATCCACAGGCTTTCAACCCTACAAGAGGAATGAGCCGGCTCCTGTTGAGTGCAGGGCTCTGGCTCCTGTCCAAGCTCAGGCCAGATGTACCCAAAGGAAGACCCACAGGCAGGCTCAAGGGTCCATGGAATGAACCAGCTCAGACATCTTTCTCTGAAGGAGCATGACCATCATTTACAGGAAGGAGAAGGTTATCTTGCAATACTGATCTTATTCAGCAGCTTCCCAGATGACCGAGTATGACATCAGGCTAAAAAACCTCATCTGAAACCACTAAACGCTCTCCACAACTTACAGGGAAGCCCTGAAAGGCTGGTTTGTGTCTTGCGGATTCTCAGACCATCTTCCCCAACACTGGTGTTCACAGACTGTATTAAAGCAATCTTGAACTACATCATGCGCAAACTCATGTTCCTCACATACTTGCATCCCATGATCTTCACGGGTTGCGTGTTCCACTGTCTGGGTGGACTTTAAGGCGCTGGATTTAGCCTGAAAAATTACTTAAGGGTTGACATTTGTCTCCCAGAGAGACAGAACCTCTCCCCTCAGAAACTTGTCTGCAGATAAAGTACTGCTAGGGAATCTGCTTTTGCACAGCTTTCCATCCCCACCTTCACTCAATTTATACCAGCCGTGGTACCTCCAGAAAGGACCCACCACCACTTCTTGTTCACACCTGATGGACCAAACACACTGATTTCAGTGCTTTTGTGTTCACGTGCCACACAGCAGGGTAGTTTCTTGTCAATTTACTGACCCTCCAGAGTACAAGACCTGTCTGTTCTCCTGGAAGAGTGTAGATAGATGTGAGAAGTCTGTTACCTATTAAGTTGCACTATCATGGTGTTTTAAGTACTGAGTAGAGGAAGGATGAGCTTGTGGTTAAGCCACTCTACAGAGATGTAGCTTCTAGCAGTCCAAGCCTTCTACCACAGCCTGCCCTAATAGTTTCAAGCAGGTCAAATAATCTCTCACATCAGATTTCCCCACCTTTTTTAAGTGCCTGAAAAGGAAACGTTTGGAAATAACCAGGGAGCACTCAAGACATCAAAATGGTGAGGACTATATAAACAGATATATATCTCACTGGTGAAGAAACAGGTTAATGTCTTTAAAGGTTTCTAATGGCTAGTTTAGTTGCCATGAAAGTACTTAAGAGCATGCAACACGCCCTTGGATTAAATCTAAATAAACATAAACAGCAGTAAAAAATGGCTTTTATTACGAGAAGGTCTGGCTCTAGCTTGCACCTGTAACTCTAAATATATTTAACAGGATACCAAACTATGTCGATGATAAAAAGCAAAACAACATTACAGGCATTTGCATGAGAAGCAGGGAGACATAGGGAGAGAGGTAAAACAAAATGGACAACTTGCTAGAGTCTGATTCAAAAATTATTAAAAAATGCTATTTGCTAGAGTCAGGATTAAGCTACTAAGGAGATTCATGGCAGGTAAAGCTACAAGAAAATGGAGATGAAAACTCTATATTGTGTCCCTAGAAGTGAGATAAATGAGGGTCAGAATGAAGTTCATTTAAATCCACTGAGCTGATACAGAGGGAGTTAGAGAGAGCCGCAAAACAAAATGAAAGGCTCAATAGGAGCCTGCACAGCCAGTGCTGCAATGTCAGAAACGCAACACAGTGCCATCTGAAACCTACAGGCACAGCAGCAGGACTCAAGGAAAAAAACAACGGTGGCACTCCTGGGGAAGCCATGCCTGCCTGCAACAGCGCTGGAACAACACACGAGGGTCCGGCAACACAAGCCCCCGATCGCGAATGCATTTCGAGGGGAGGTTCAGCAAAGCCTCTGGGGAGGACATCCACTGCTGGGGTAAAACCACCAGAAGAACACAACGAAACCACGTCTATTTGCACCAGGGAGAAGGAGCTGCCCTTTTCTTTCACTCCCACTTGGCATCCTCCTTTAGGTCTCTTATGGGATAGAAGGTGTCTTAAGACAATAGATAATTAGCTGTAATGCATCCTCTGTGGCTATAACAACTTAACAAGGCTTATCTGTAGACGTGATCTAGGCTTCCAGTTATCCTTGTTCTCCCAGTTCTCTTCCTCTCCCCTTCTCCAATATTTGCATCTCAGCTTGACAGGTATTTTGAATTTAAGCTTAATAAAAGTGTTTGCATGTACCTCTGCACGCTTATTAGAAGGTAAGGAAAAAAAACACCCGATTTTAACTCTGCCTCCCCGAGACTCGGCTCGTTCCATTTTCCCTTCCCTGACAAACAGAGGGAGCTGAAACAAGAAACGTCAACTTTGGAATGCTGCTCTATCGAAAGATAACTTATTAAAAACATCGGATTCTTCCTTTAAAAAGCCAAGGGAAAAAAATGTCCAGGAAGTTGATGCATCACCGTGTTGCATCTGTGTCAGGCTCTGGGTAAACATGCAGCAACATGAATGAAATCTGTCCAGAAAGACTGCATTTCAGCGCCAACCACGCAATCGCTGGCCAAACCACTGCATATGTAACAAAGTTTGATCTCGCCTGCGAGCGCTCAGCTGCGCTTCTGCTATTTCCTGTGGAAAACTGAAGCTCTGAACCACTGTCTCTCACCCAGCCCTCGCCGGCACCCCGGCCAGCTGCCCCCCTAAAATCACGCGCATCGCTCCGCGGAGAGCGGGCGGGCAGCCCCAGCAGAGCCAGGCCGGGGATGCTCGGCAGCTCCCCTCCCTCCCTGCCCGCGCCGGGCACCGCCGTGAGGGGCAGCCGCGCCCCGCGGTGCCCGCTCCTCCCTCCGCGGCCGCCCCATCCCCGGCGGCAGGTGCGGCGGCGGGGCCCGCCCGGCGCCCGGGGGCCCGCCCGGCGCAACAGGTGGTCGGTGGCGCCCGGTCCCGCCCGGCGGCCGCACTCACTCACCGCTGGCGTTCTTTCCGCAGATGAGGTGCTGGTAGGGCTGCAGCAAGCCCCAGAGCTCGGGGTCGTTGTTGACCGTCTGCTCCAGCGCCTCCAGGGTGAAGCGGGGCGCCTCGCCGCCCTCCTTCTCCTTCTCGGCCGGAGCGGCGGCGGCGGCCGGGGGGCGGCCGGGCGGCGGGAGCGGGGCGGCGGGGCCGGCCAGGACCCGCGCGTGGATGTCGCGGAACAGGCTCTCGGTGCCGGCCGTGAGGTAGATGGCGGCGTGCTCGTGGATGCGCAGGGCCACGCGGCTGTCCACCATCCAGCGGTAGAACTTGCCCACGGAGAAGGCCAGTCCGCAGCGGGCCGACTTGCCGCGGCTGAAGCGGTCGCCGCCGCTGCTGCTCATGTTGTAGAGGGAGAGGGCGCCCAGGGCGGCCGCCGTGCAGCGGGCCGCCAGCGTCCAGCCCAGGACGATCTCCATGGCGCTCCGCACCTCGTGCTTGGTGCACTTGGCGAAGCGGAGGCTCAGGCGCTGCGCCTCCCGGGCGATGCGCACCAGCGCCCGGCTCACCAGCGTCGAGAGCCGCGCCGCCGCATCCCGGCTCCCGGGGCTGGCGGCGCCCGGCGCCCGCGGCTCCCGGCGCGGCGGCGGCGGCAGCAGCAGTGCCTCCACCTCCTCCAGGCTCCAGGGGACCTCCTCAAGGTCGGGCAGGAGCCGGGAGCACTGCTGCCCCGCGCAGTCCAGCACCTCGGAGTCTTCCGCTAGGACGGTGTTGACGGTGTCGAAGCTGTTGTGCCGACTGTGCATGGAGTCAGTTAGGTGCGGCCAGCAGCTTCCTCCATAGGGGTACGCGGGGTGCGAATCCGAGCAGCACAGCGACAAGTTGGAGGAGCGCACCGAGTCCGCCGCGCCACCATACCCGGAGTCCAGCGTCAGGTCTTCCAGCGTCCTCACCGCCGTCTTACCTCTCCGGGCCATCGCCGCACTTCATGCTGCACCCGCGGGACCCGGGCGGGGAGCGGCTCAGGGGAAACGCGGGAGGGGACAGACCAGCGAGGGGGCGCGGGGTGACCCGCCAGCCGCTTCGCTTCGCTTCGCCCCGTTCCGCCAGACGGCAGCGAAGCGGCGGTGCTGCTGTGGTGCTGCCGCCGGCCGAGCCCCGCAGCCGGCCCGGCTCCGCTCGCACTCCGCTCCTGCACTGCGCCGCCGGCCCCACACCGCAGCGCCGCGCCGGACGCCGGCGAGGAGGGGGCGGGACTATGCAAAGCGCCGCCGGCTCACAGCCAATGGGGCGGCGCGGGGGCGGGGATATGCAAAGCGGCGCTCCCGGCGGCCAATGAGACGGCGTCCTGCGCGGGCGCCCCGCCCCTCGGCTCGGCGGGGCCGCGGGGTGCGCGCCGCTCCGGCCCGGGCACCTCCGGCAGCCCGAGGAGCGGGGCCAGCCGCGTGTCCGCGCACCGCGTCCTCTGCCCCCGCGGCTGGGAAGAAAACCGTGTGAAGCACGCCTCTGTTATATCCGCCCGCCGTTCCTTACGCGCGCGAACTGGAAGTCCCGCTCCGGCCCGCACTGGGTTTTCACACCGGCAGATCCCTGATGTCGCTATAAAAAAATGACAGGGAGCGCAGGCACTCGCACACATCTCATCAGACAGTCAAGATGTTTTGAAATCGAGCAGAAACTGCCACGTAAGAATCCAAGCTATCACTGGAGTCAGGAAGAGCAATTTCCAAATAATTAAAACAAGTACAATAAAGCCCCTAGACATTCTTGACGTTAACCCATTACGTATCACGAAGGTTTTGACAAGTAAGATTTGTACTGGGCTTAGGGCATGTTTCCTATCCATGCTGAGATTTTTTTTTTTTTTGTGCAATATAAAACAATTTATCCCTGACTAATGTATTTTAATCTTACATTTCTAGGCTTTAGCTTTATTAGGAGTTGCCTAATATCCCAGGCAACAGACTGAGAATGTATATGTTTGTGTGCTCTGGTTATGAAGAAATCTTATATCCTTTTAAGCGTAAAATACCAGTGAAATTCTATCCCTTTAAGGATAAAAGCCTAGCAAACACATTTCTTTATCATGCCAACTCTCGAGAGGCAGCCAAAATTTTTGAGCAGACAAGGTAAGTCGTGTAAGAGATTTCCCCATCCAAGCAAACCTGGCACTCTTCCAACATCAGCTTCCTACAGGAAAGGCACGAACACAACTACAGGTAGGCTCATTTGTCAAACAGGTTGAGGAGAACTATGACACCACCAAAAACATCAAGAAGGGGTTGCTTTCCAAATTAAGTCAAGTGCTGTCAAAAACTTGTTTCTCGGCATAGCCCTGGTCCTTCCACAAGATGTGCTATGCATAATAGGTTTCCACAGATTTCCCAAACACCATCGTATCCTGATAAAAGATAGCAGAGCTGAGGACAAGAACAAGTTGAGCCACTGTCATGTTCCAAGCAAGACACAGAGGCCCACACTGCTGGCAATAGCCAGCCTTGGAGGGTGGCTTATCAAAACTGAGAGCATACCTCGAGAGCAAAATCCTGTGGACTTTGTGGCAATCCAGCTGTACATCTCGCAGTAGAGCCCTCTGGTGTCTTCGGCACCTCAGTGCAGTGACTGCTCAAAATTCCCCTTTCCATTTGGATAATACTAAAATAACTAACCTCTCGGGATAGTTATTTTTTTTTTAACAAACTCCATTCACCCGACTCAGTCCTTCTGCTCTCACAAAATGCCACAACTGTGCATGCTGAGTACAAGAGAGAGACAGCAGGTCAAACTCAGGGAAAGTTCAAGTTTGGGAAGTTTTCTAGTAATTGGTTTGTAGGGCTTAACACAGACATAAGGTGAGCATCCAAGGAGTATGGAACAAGTGAGCTGGGTGGTTGGTTTGTTCACCAGCCTTTGTAAAAAAACAGTGCTCCCAAGGTCACCAGTCTTAGGTGCTGCATCATTTTTAGGCTACAACATAAACACGTTGAGATGAAGAGGATACATGAGAAGTGGACAGTTGTCTCAGGCTCCTTGCAGACTCAGACATTCATATTGCTGACTCAGTGACAGTTTATACTTCAAAAGAGGTTGGGGTTTTTTTGTTGTTTTAATTCAGAAAGCAAAACCTCACTGGGCCTTACTAGAGATTTTGTAGTAGCAACCTCGCACATGGCAGTTTGATTCCCAGTCACACTACCAGTTCAGAAGATGTTGCAACACGTGGGCACACCACAGGCATGTCAGCAACATCAGGCTGGTTTAAACTTTCGAAAGTGGCAGTGAGAATTTCTGACTCATTTGTTCGAAAGACTAATTACCTTCTCACTGAAAGGGCTGGAAGTTCAGTGTGACCAACCTGGACTGCCGATGATCTTTTGGTACTTGAAGTATTTCACCTGCCCAGGTGCGGATACCCTGGCTGTTGCATTCTGAAGAGAGTTTCAGCATTTTTTGGGAAGTGCTTCTGGGACAGGGACACTTCATTCTTTAAACCTCCCTGGGAAAAGACAGGATCAAACAGTTTGGAGGAAAATGCACCCCAGCAACTTGTAGAGTGCCTGCATGGGATGAGCTGTGGAGACGGACCTTAACTTTAATCCAGAAGGGCACCACACCTCTCCTGGCCTGGGAGGAAAGACAGGTGTCTGCAGCTGTACTCCACTCTGCAAGCCTTACAGCCAGGGTCATTTGCCTATTAGAAAAGAACACCCACTGCAGAAAACAAAGTCCCTTTATATGTCAAAGGCTGGGTGGAAACAATTTTCAGCTTGTTGGAGACAGGGACATCAATTATCCTTACAGACAATTCAGACAGGGACTGATTAAGTACCATAGCAGGATGATAAGTGCCAGGAAAAAAAAAAAGTTTAAAAGAGGGAAATTGAGCCACATTTTAAAAAGGTGCTTAGGGCAAATTGAAGTGAATGGGAAGTTGGCATTTTTATGGGGAGAGCACTAAGTGCCGCAATTCTTTCCTTCCCCACCCTGTCAACTGCCTGCAAATCGCATCTTCTTGTCAGCAGTAGGGGAAAACATGACACAAAATAGGCTGCCAGACAGAACAGGAGTGTACCTAGGATCAGGCCACTCCATGTAATTTCTGTATTCAAAATTCAGTGTGCTTCACTGCAATAACAGCTCAGATCAAAAGCAGCACTCGAAGGATTTCCCAGTGCTATCTCCAACTGCTAGGAACAAGCCACAAGCCTTATGAGGGCCTTGCTTATACTGCCAGGGAAGTCAGAGTACTAATGTTTCTAATCACAGGGGGTTAATTTACAAAGCAAGGCTGTAATCCTGTACCAGTAAAGAAGGTGTGAAATGCACATCCCTGGCAGAGAAGCCTTTGGGGCTGCAGCGTGTGTACAGTCTGCTGCAAAGAAGACACCCGTCAAAGAAGGAACAGAGTGCTGGCATCAGGTAGCATCGTCCCTGCAGGGCCACTGGGAGACTGCTGCTGACTGTTTAGACAAGCAGGCTCAGGGAGATGACTCTGGTGTTGCTCCTCAAACACATACAACTCCAAAAGCAGTGGGAATGAGTGACGCAATGAGGCCACCGGCTTGCCAGCTGGAAATGAGGCACTGGTGGTGCCTCCAGTGTGAGTGGGAGGGAAGAACACGTGGCAGCCGGATGGCACACCACCCGCTTTTTCCCCTCATCAGCTCCGTCCTGCTGATTTCAGCAACAAGCTGAATTAGGACCCCTGGCAAGGACTCAGCAGGAGCTCTTGCCCCACAGAGAGGCAAGATTCAGCTAATCAGCTTCTCCTCTTGCAAACACCTAAAAGAAAGGGCTACCCTGATATTTCAGCTGACTATTGCTTAGCCAAGGGCAACCACCCAGCTGTATTCCTCTGCTGTGCAAAAGCAGCACCTCCGACTTCCCACTGAGCTCAAAAACCCTTCCCAACTTTCTTCCTGTGGCTCCCTGTACTAGAGGTCTGTAAGAGATATGTAGACTTGTGCCTGACATGGAGGGGAGCAATTACTTGGGATTTCTCAGAAGACACTAGCCGAGAATGCTCAGAGAAACTGCCAGCCAAACCCAAATCTCACCTCATAATGAAGCTTTGGAACCCATGGCCATGGTACATTTTGGAAGCCAAGAGCACAAATTATTTCAGAAAGAGATCTGACAAATTCCTGGAGGATAAGGACACTGGTAGCTATTAAACACAATGGTGCATGTGCAATCTTCATCTCAGAAAGTTTCTCAACAGCCATTTGCCACAAATGTGGAGATTGTGCCAGGGGAGAGAGGACTTTGTAATCGCTTGGTTACTCATGGATCTGTCATCAGTGGCTATGCAAGATGAGATACTGCACTGCAGAGACAGGACCAGAGCCCCCAAGGCAGTCCTTTAGTTTAAACCCTTACTTCCACAGCAGCCAAGGGCATTACCACCAGTTCAGAAGTACTGCTTGGTTCTGCACAGCCAACACAGGAGTATTTACTGTCTTTACAAGTTGTTGGATCTTGTCCTTTGTTCTAAGGGAGGATCGAATGCAACCTGTACATGAATTGTGACAGATATTTAAACCCTTCTTTTCTTAAAACCACCCATGACAAAGACACTACAACTTCCCTGGATGGTCTGTTTCCAATCCAAATAGTTTTAGTGCTTGAAACAGCCTCCCTAAGACTAACCTAACTTTTACTTTGCTGCAAATTGAAAAAATAAAAAGAAGCTATCAAACTTTTTTGGTGAACTGGACTGGCACCTCTGTCTCACTTACTCTTAGGCAGTATTAAAAGTATATATAGAAGCAAGTAGAATACATATGTAAGCAGCCCCCAGCCAGCAAATACAAGTTCTTCTCACAATGCACTACACCACTCCAAAAAGCATAACAGTGTTTGCATGCTTTATGTGCAGTAAGATTATACATACATACTGTGTTTTGATCAGAACTAAAAGAAACAGGAATAGCAAGCTTTCCAGAGGCCAGAAAGACTCTTTTCAGCCAGTGGTAATTTTCATTCCCACCCAAGACACAACAGACCTGCATGAGGGATATATGCCTGGGTATAGGAGAGAACAACTTGAAGGTGAAATCTAAAGTAACAAACATGCTTGAGATCAGCAGTGGCTGTCGAGTTAGCCAGCCCTTTAGTCTTCACTTAGGAGGATAAAAATGTTTTAAGTTA